TTAATGATCTACACAGTCAAAGCCTTTGTTGTAGTCTATAGAGCAAGACCTGATTTTCTGAAATTCTTTAACACTCACCAGTACCAAATATATACTTGCAATATGACCTCTAGTGCCTCTTCCTTTTTGAAATCCAACTTGAACAGAGGGCATTTCTCACACCATACAGTGGGGTCTTGACTTGAGAACTTAATCCGTATTGGAAGGCGGTTCTCAAGTCAAAAAGTTCTCAGGTCAAATCTGCATTTCCCATAGGAATGCATTGAAAGCCATTTGATCCGTATCTGCTCTTTTCCATCCATAGAAACTAATGGGAAGCTGCTATTCTGCCTTCGACCACTAGAGGGGGATATTTTGTTTCTTTTTTTCTTAGTTCAAAAAAGGTTCAGGGAAGGCAGGGAAAATACAGTCCAGCCGTACAGTACCAGGCAGTCCGAAGACTGTCTCCCAATCCACTCTCTAAACGCTGGGAGGAGTGAGGAAGCAGACAGGCAGCCTTTTCACTGGCCAACAGTTAACTGAAAGTTCAAATTTTGCACTTTCCCTGCCTCCCACATGGTTTTTTTCAGTTCTTAACTCAAATCTAAGTATGGAAGACAAGTCAATATTTTCCTATGAGAGAGGTTCTTAAGTCAAAATGTTCTTAACTCAAGCCGTTCTTAAGTCAAGACCCCACTGTATAGGGTAAACTTCTTCTTTGCAACACCTTGAACATCATTTTCCTGCACTGGAAATTAATGCAATGGCCCCAGATTTCATACAATTCTTGGTGTCTCCTTTTTTAGGAAGTGGAACATATATTGAATGTTACCAGTTTGTGGAGCATTGTTTCGTTTTCCCTGTTTATTGGCATATCTTGTTAGGATGTAGACATGTTCAGGTTCTGTAGCTTTAAATAGTTCTGTAGCTTGCAATAGCATCAAATAACTTCCAGTTTCATTTTGTAAGAATTCCACCCCCCTTACCCCAGCATATTTCCTCTTAGTAGTTACATTGCTGTTTGTAATGAAGGACAGCGAATTACAACCTGAAGCTTATTGCGCTAGCAGATACATTTGTATAAAGCACATGGCAATGCTTAATTATCCACATCTGCATCTAATTTTAAATTACATGCTTACGGATATTTATGTTTTTTTGGTGTTGGGTCATTAACATTACTAATATATACTGAGGATGAACTAGTAAATGACAGGTTAAATTTAGATTCAAGCAGTTACTTCTTTACATTCTTACCATACATACCAGCAAGTCTTAAGAGAAAATATTTCATTTAAGCTTTCTGTTTGCTGTACACATTTAGATTTCTAGATGTACAGAATACCTATTAGGCTGCATTCAGCTTTGTATGGGTAAGCGAACCCAAACCAACACCAAAGTACAGTGGAACCTTCAAGACTAACAGGTTTATTTCAGTGTTTGTTACAATCTATGAAAGTTCACATTAAAACAAGTCTGTTAGTCTTGAAGATGACACAATTCTTTATTTTCGTTTTTCTTATAGATGTTGAAATACATGAAGATCACTATCTCTTTGAACATTCATAGTTTTTCATATTATCTCTCCTTGATGTTCCCTAAGGAAAGAGACATGGATAGTTCATAGGTCTGCATTATGATCCATCAAATGATGACATGTGGCAGTTAAGCTACCTAGTTTGGCTTAGTAGCTCAGAAATTCTGCAGGTCCGAGTCAAAATAATGCCACGATCTTTTCCTATTTATGCACCAATTTTTTGTCATGTAAAAATGTACACTTCACTAAAAGAATAAGCCTTTGTATGATTGATCTGAGTTCATTGTTCAGTATCTTCCTTCTAGTGTTGGCATTCCTCTTAATAACCATTTTAAATCATTTTACTGATACAGTATAGCCATTCACAGAGATGTCTTATGAGTTAAATTAGATAATTGTTTAAAAACTGACTGCTTCAGAAATATGTCAAGTTTGGTAATGGCCATGGACGTGGCACGTTATATCCACATTATTCATTATTTATATATTTAAAATATTTTAACCCCCTTTATCCTTAAAAAGGACCCAAGGAGCCTTATAGCAATTAAAACTTCGGCTGAACTGGGACAAAACAGAGGTCCTGGGGGTGGGTTGGTGGTTTGGGAAACTCCCTCTCTTTTAGGGGGTGACTCTCACCACAAAGAGTGGGGTTCGCAGCTTGGGGGTCCATCTGGATCTGACACTTACCATGGAAACTCAGGTAGCGTCAGTGGGCCACACTGCCTACTTCCATCTTTGGCGGTTTGCCCAGCTGCATTCCTATCTTGATGTTGGGGCACTCACCACTCTGGTTCATGCACTTGTAGTCTCAAGATTAGACTACTGTAATGCACTCTACATGGGGCTACCTTTGAGATTGATGCGGAAGCTTCAAATGGTGCAGAACATGACGGCCAGACTTCTCAAAGGGGTGAGAAAACATCAACATATCTCCCCCACTCTGGCTGCCTTGCATTGGCTGCCTGTTCATTTCTGCATTGATTTCAAGTATTAACGATGACATATCGTTTACTGCAAGGAGAAGAAACCTATCAATTCTGAAGGAAATCAACCGTGAGTGCTCACTGGAAGGACAGATCCTGAAGCTGAGGCTCCAATACTTTGGCCATTTCATGAGAGGAGAAGACTCCCTGGAAAAGCCCCTGATGTTGGGAAAGTGTGAAGACAAGAGGAGAAGGGGATGACAGAGGACGAAATGGTTGGACACTGTCATCGAAGCTACCAACATGAATTTGACAAAACTCTGGGAGACAGTGGAAGACAGGAGGGCCTGGTGTGCTCTGGTCCATGCGGTCACGAAGAGTCGGACACAACTTAATGATTAAACAACAACAACATAAAGCCCTAAATGATTTAGGACCTCAGTATCAAGTGGAACGTCTTCTAAAGCCCTAAATGATTTAGGACCTCAATATCAAGTGGAACGCCTTCTACCACCTAGATCTACCTGAATCACTCGCTTTAGCCAGGATGGGCAGCTGAGGGGCCTAATGCTGAGGGAGGCCCAGAGAGAAAGAACATGGCAGTGGCCCCTCATCTTTGGAACAGTCTACTCTCAGAAATTTGCCTGGCTCCCTCTCTGGCTGTTTTTAAGAGCAAATTCAAGACCTGCCTCTTTAGGCCGGCCTTCCCCCTTGTCATTACCTAATTTATTTCTTGCCTTCTTGAATTGTATTAATGCTGTTGTTTTATTTTATACTGTTATTATTTGGATTGCTGTTAGCCACCCAGAGTAGACTTTGTTCTAGATGGGTGGGATACAAATTTAATAAACTTTTAAATTAAAAAAAAATAAATTTAGTTTTTTTAAAAAATGACATTTAACTTAGTAACAATGAGTATACAATACAAAAAGAATCAAAGAATACTATACCAAAAACAAAGGCAACACCAAAACACGTTCAATGCAGTAAAGTACTATCTATTTTAAAAACCCCACCTAGCTGCCATTCACTAAGGGAAAGCTTGCCTGAAGAGAAAGGTCTTTGCCTGCTTGTTGAAGGACAGTAAAGATGGAGTCAGTCTAGCCTTCTGTGGGAGGGAGTTGCAGAGTCCAGGAGAAGAAACAGAGAAGGCCCTCTTCTGTATGCCCGCAAACACACCTGTGAAGGTGGTGGGACCAACAGGAATGTCTCTCCTGATTTATGAACCTGAGAAGTTCATAAAGGGAGATGCAGTCCTTGAGGTAGCTTGGATCCAAGCCATTTAGGACTTTATAGGGATAAGACCAACACTTTGAATGCTGCCCAGAAACAGATTGGCAGCCAGTGGAGCTGTTGTAACAGGGGCGTTGTGTGATCCCTGGGACCAGCCCCAGTTAGCAATTTGGCTGCTGCATTGTGGACCTGCTGAAGTTTCTTGACACTTTCAATAGACAGCCCCACATAAAATGTGGTACAGTTACATTACTGATGTGAGGAGAGGGAAAAAGCATTATGATTCTGTAGTCCCAGAAAAAACAGAGGCAAAAGTTAGAGTTAGAAAAGTGGCTCAGTGTTCCAGCTGTATCCCCTTCCAGCATATTCTGTTCCGTCTCCTAATTCCCTTCCCTGAAGCTCTGCTAATATTGTGTGATTACTGAGTGTGCTCAGTCTTCACTGGGTTGCTTGAGGAGCCACCCGACCACAGGGTATCAGTCTAATTTCTATTTGTACTCTTGCAACCTCTGGAGTACCTCACCCTGCCAATCCCCTCTCCTTGTGTGTGGCGCTGCGTCGGCTGTGGCAGATATTAAAGACAGATATCTTGGTTAGGAGACAACTGGAAATTCCTCAAGTGTACTTTTCTTAGTAGTTTTATATCACCATGCAGTGACAGACCAATTACATACAGTACACAGCTTTAAAAATGTTTATTAAATAATGGCCTCACCTTTTCTTTATTTCTTAAAACCAATCTCAGAGGTGGAGCCTTTAAAAAAAAGAGAGTTAACGAAACCCAATAAAATCAGAAGACGGAGGGAGATGCCGCGGCATGGAGTTTGATGTCCACAGCAGGATATCAAGAAGTGGTGCTGTAAATTCAGTACGGGACCACAGTACTGTGCTAAGTGTGGCCTGAATCACATAGGCTTCCCTTTGATGCAAGTGTAGTATATTAACTGGAAAAAAGCATTCACTTTTATTTGTCTGTCCTGTCTGCAATAGCAATATCGCCTCATTTAGTGTAGCCCAACATGAAAATGCAAAGAGAAGCAATCTGTTACAAATTAGCACAGCTCCCCTTTCATTTTACTAGCTAGTAATTGGAAGGGGTTAAGAAAGTGTAATTTATCAGATTATATGTGTTTATCTTTTTGTGGGGACAGCATCCCTTTGGTGAATTTTCCTAGGCACCCTGAGGGAATAATCTTTCCTTGATGTCCATTTGATCTGAAAGAAAACAATGACGCCTGTGAAATATGGGAGCATAATTTGTTGAGTTTGAAACGGAACAGTTTCCCAGACTTCTAAAAATGGTATTAATGACTTTATTAGAACCTTACCTTTCTTTGGAAATGTTTTTGCTCTCTCGTTTCCAAATGGTCTTAAAGTCACTGCAGAACTCATACCATACTGTGAAAACGTAGTTCGGCGTGATCTCCTTCTCACCAGATTTCGGCTTTATTCCAAAGTACCCCACTGTTTCTTCAAAACTGCAGTGTTGGAGGGGGGGGGAGAGAGACTGTCAGCACATAAACCCACCAGGGAAGTTCAGTTTCTCTCAAGGCAAATTTTCTGACTCGGCAGCCTATTACTTGGAAACTGTACCAGTAATAGATGGTGAATGTAGTGGATTTTGTTTCTGTTTTAAGTAGTGTTTGTGAGCCATCTTGAAAACTAGAAAATAACTTGTATGCACATATAGGTAGGCAAGCACACGGGCAAACACATACACACAATTTCTGCCCAGACTACAACCCTGTTTTATTTCTGAGTTTGTAATCTTCAAACTACCAAATTAAGGTTTTTAATGAAAAATCAGTGCTATACTGTATTAATTAACTCCCTTTTGCCCTGGGGAAGCCTTTGGGAGCCTTGGGATGGGGGACAGGAGAAAGATTTTAATACTCAAAGATTGCCACCAGGATGAGGACTGCCAGCAGTGAACTGATGGAAGTTTTTTCACTCTTTCTCCCCCCACCCCCACCCCCATCACTATCCCAAGGCTCCAAAAGGCTTCTCCAGGGTAAAACAGAGTACTAAGTAGACTCTGAAACTGAGGGAATGGGGTTGGGGAGCTTTTAATTCATTTAAATTAAATACCAGCTTTGCTAGGTAATAACACCACCCTGCTTCCATGATATGACTTTATGCCAACAGGAATTTTGGCCTGTATATTATATTATATTAGCACATTTTGCTCTTACACAGAGCTTTTTTGTATCCTGACCAATATTTCTTTGTTTGGAACAATTATCTTGAAAATTTTTATTCCCAGACATATAAATCAATCTACAGTAGGACACTGGTGACATATGCTTAAGTTTGCAACTTTGCCAGGCTTGTTGGAATCATATGGAGTTTTCATTTGAAATAAATTGGCAACATTTCCTTAAATATTCTTTTGTAAAAAAAAAAGTTGATTATGTAATAAAACTCTTGTGAGACCATACCATGTCAAGCTGTGAATGACTGCATGACTGAATGCTCCCTGTCTTTAAATAATAATAATAATCATAAGAAATTAACTAAATCCATCACTGCAAACAACAAGGCACTGTTGAGAAGTGCTCCAAGTTTGGCTTTCTCCCTAGCAAAATAGCTATGATACCAAAAATTGTTGTATGTGGTTATAAGTTTAATCAGTCATGCAGCCTTCCCAACGTGGAATCTGACACACAACACCATATGAACAGTTTTACCACAATGTGAGTTGTTTTGTCTAGAAAGGCTCCATTTCAGAACTTGTTTCTGAAAGTCCAAGATAACTGCATGATAATAGTGGAAGCTTGAAATAAGTGACATTTAAGCTTTCTAAATTATTTAAATACTTTTAAAGACAAAATATACTGTAGTACACCATGTTAAAGAACTAGGAAAGCTTACCACTTTTGTACCATCTCCAAATGGCTCTCTTCTGTCTTATGCTCTTCTACAGCTAAAAAAAAGGGCAACATTTTGTTTTACTATTTTAGAAAATTGAATTAGAAGTCTACATTTCATGAGTTTTTAAATTTCACATTTCTCATAATGAAGTGGGCTGTTTTGAGAACTACAGTGTGAACAGTACACCGTGCAATTAAGCAGACTTAAGCAGTCAGTGTTAGAAGAGCTGATGCCCAGACAGATCTGTGCTGTGAAGCCTGGCATTACACTGGCAATGATTATAAAAACACTCGGTTCTGAACTCAACTGGAAGCACATGCAGCTCTGACAATGGACACTGTGAGAAAAGTATTGTTCCCTGTTGTGTTGCAAATGCATCTCATTTATGGTGAGGACATGCACAACTATCTATTTCCCTGTTCTGCATTTAGCTACTGCATGCTGAAAAAACAGCACACTAAAATAGAAAAAACAGGTATGTTCTTGCAAGCTCACCATGGTTTCCTGCTTTGTGCACTGAATGGTTTCCCCACACTTGTTGCTATATGTGATGTGAACAGGAAGGATTGTATTAAACAGTTTAACATGGAGTCACTGATTCTAGATTATCAGATGCACATCTGCTTTCCAAATCAAATTCTGGATGTTTCCCTTATTATACAGATTTGGCTCTTCCTCCACCCTAAATACCAGAGTACCACCTATTCAGGACTTTTGAGCTGTCCTTTTAAAAAAGCATAAAACCTGAATCTAAAATCTGGATATTCAGAAATCCCAGCATTGATTTTCCAGTGTAAGCATAATGTAGGACTGTTACAAGTAGATTAGAACTATAGTTCTCAGTATAGGCTGGATAGTTCAGTGTAGGTATCTGGCTGCAGTGACAGGAGTTGGGAATTGAATTCCCCAGTGGACCTCCACCAGCTTGTGTGGTGGTGGGCAAGCTGCACAGTCGCTGGATGTCCCCAGAAGAAGGGAATGTGAAACGACTATGCACTGTAATATACCTGAAAAGGGCCACTGTAAGTGAGAATTAATTTCATGGCACATTGTTTCTGTTGTTGTTGTTAGTGGAATTTGGCAATGCCAACAGAGATCCTTCCTATGACCAAAGGTATCATATCCTTTTGCTGACAAGACACACAACCCATTTCTCCAGACAGTCTGGCATCCACAAGAAAAAGATCCACTCTCATATTCATTCTGGACAAAAATATATAAACCAGGAAATCTCTTATAGAATTTTAACAAAACATACTATCTCAAGGAGAAGGAAAGGGACCTGTAATTATTTAATGACAGAGAATATTTCTTTTCTTGGGAATTAACTTTTAATATTACATATTTAGAGAAATATCAGGGCAGGTGCTCCAGAAAGGTGTGGATCTCTGAGTATATTTGAAATTTCTACTTTCCTCAGCATCCCTGCAAATTAGCTCAGATGTGTGTATGTAGCCTATAACAGTGGTCCCCAAGCTTTTTAACTCCACGGACTGGTTGGGGAAATCAGGGTACCCCCTTGCGCTAGCGTGCATGCATGAAGGAATGGATGTGCATTCACACAGGTGTGCCTGCTTGTGCGCAGGTGGAACACTTACACACACTCACACAGGGATGGGGCACTCGCACCTGCACACACACTCATGCACATGCGCAAAGGGGCTGTGTGGGGGCAGGACTGTGTTCGGGGGAGTGGGAGATCTGTCTCCGTGGCCCAGTCCGGTCCAGGCCATGGATTGGCACCAGGCTGCGGACTGGGGGTTGGGGACCCCTGAACTATAACAAAATTGTGATGAGCAAGCTCCTTTTCAGTACTTTCGGGTATCTGTGTCTGTCTATTTCTGTCTCTCTGCCTGTATCAGTGAACAAAATCCTGTTGCTTAATGTAGTAAAACACATGAAAATCCATTGAAACAATGGGGATTTGGTGTGTTGACTTCTTCATAAATTCTATTGATTCAAATGGGCCTACTCTAACTGCAACATACTATGCTAAAGTATGTTGCAATTAAAATTGGCCTATTTCAGTCACTGAAGAAGTTGAATCAAATCTCCATTGTTTCAGTGAGCCTATAACAGGAATTTGTCTTCTCTCTCTTTGTCTATGCAAGCTCTTTGCCTATGTGCTTTTTCTCCCTCCTTCTGGTTTCTCTCTTTCTCTTCCTGTTTCATCTCCCTCCTCTTTTCCATTCTCCGTTCTCCTTGATTGACTCATTTATTTATTTATTTATTTATTTATTTATCCGCCCCATAGCGCTACAAGCACTCTCCGGGCGGTTTACAGTTTAATTATACAGGCTACACATTGCCCCCCAGCAAGCTGGGTACTCATTTTACCGACCTCGGAAGGATGGAAGGCTGAGTCAACCTTGAGCCGGCTACCTGGGATTTGAACCCCAGGTCGTGACCTGGAGGAGGAACTGGCAAGCCATTCCAATATCTTTGCCAAGAATACCCTATGAACAGAAACAAAAGGGTAAAAGATATGATGCTGGAAGATGAGCCCCTCAGGTCAGAAGGCATCCAACATGCTACTGAGGAAGAGCGGAGACAAATACAAGTAGCTCCAGAGCTAATGAAGTGGTTGGGCCAAAGCTGAACGTATGCTCAGCTGTGGATGTGCCTGGAAGTGAAAGGAAAGTCCGATGCTGCAAAGAAAAATACTGCATAGGAACCTGGACTGTAAGATCTATGAACCTTGGTAAGCTGGATGTGGTCAAACAGGAGATGGCAAGAATAAACATTGACATCATGGGTGTCAGTGAACTAAAATGGATGGAAATGGGCGAATTCAATCCAGACGATTACTGTATCTACTATTGTGGGCAAGAATTTCGTAGAAGAAAAGGAGTAGCCCTCATAGTCAACAAAAGTGGGAAAAGCTGTAATGGGATACAATCTCAAAAAAGATAGAATGATTTCAATGAGAATCAAAGACAGACCTTTCAACATCACAGTAATCCAAGTTTATGCACCAACCACCGATGCTGAAGAGGCTGAAACTGACCAATTCTATAAAGACTTAGAACACCTTCTAAAACTGATACCAAAGAAAGATGTTCTTCTCATTACAGAGAATGGAATGTTAAAGTAGGGAGTCAAGAGATAAAAGGAACTATAGGTAAGTTTCGCTTTGGAGTTCAAAACAAAGCAGGGCAAAGGCTAATAGAGTTTTGTCAAGAGAAAAGGATGGTCATCACAAACACTCTTTTCCAACAACACAAGAGGTGACTCTACACATGGACATCACCAGATGGGCAATAGCAAAATCAGATTGATTATATTTTCTGCGGCCAAAGATGGAGAAGCTCTATACAGTCAGCAAAAACAAGACTTGGAGCTGATTGTGGCTCTGATCATAAGCTTCTCATAGCAAAACTCAAGCTTAAACTGAAGAAAGTAGGAAAAACTACTGGGCTAGTAAAGTATAATCTAAACCAAATCCCTTATGAGTACACAATGGAAGTGAAGAACAGATTTAAGGAACTTGATTTGGTGTCAGGGAAGCACAATAGGGAATCAAACTCCCAACCTCTGGCTCCACATATTAAACCACTGAATGATCCAGCAGTTCATTAAAGTATTTGTGTATTTATTATATTAAATATTCAAAATAACACTTTAAGTATTATAATGACCCACAAACTTATATCCCATGGGAAAGCAAAACAACTTAAATAATAATAAGAAAATTTTCAATATAAAATAGCAGCAGTGGCAACAATACCCATACAGTACACAGAATAACTCCAATATACTGTATATTATTTTGATAAATTGTACCACTTAATACAAACAACAAAAGGACAATCTATTTCTAAATACACAATGGAACATCAACCAACAGGCAGCCATGGGCAGGGAGGTTCACAGTGTGGAAATGGCAACTGGAAAGGTCTAATCCCAGATACTTAACAGCCACATCTCTCATGCCAATCAGATTAGTAGCTGGGCTGGAAACCTTGAGTGGAGAGTCAGTGAAATAATTAGCTCTCTCTGAATGAAGCGAATATATATATATATATTTGTATGCAGTGTTGTAAAAGGCACTGTATTATTTTTTCTGAACACTGGAGGGATTTTAGAAAGTCTTAACGTTGTTCAGCTACATGAAATACAGTATAAAAAGCTTAAGTATTCTTACCAATAACACAAAAATATTGATTATATTTATACATTCCATTACAGAACAAAGTCAACAATTTATTATCAGAGGTAATGCAAGGAAACCAAGAAATTATGATTTGTTTAAAAGTAGATAATACTGGCTATAAATCTGTCAAAATAGTGTTGAAGGTTAGTTTACTACACAATTATGACAGTGAAGTTAGCTAAGCCAGATATTATGTATTCATTTTTCTTTTTTTTCTTAGATGTCTTCGAACATAAACAGCTATTTTCAAAAAGGAAAGGAAAGGAAATCTTGTCTAAGGGAAGCCTGTATTCAGGAGATGAAAATTCATATTTTAAATTATGCTTCAAACAAAAATGTTCTTCAATTGCGAACCACTAAACTATGCTGGTGCTAAAGGAGGTGGCGTGTGCCTTAAAATCCAGTACTTTTCCAAGTGTATTTTGAATTACGTGCCGTCAAGTTGAACTGACTTAGAGCAACCCTAATAGGGCTGGCTTTCAAGGTAAGTGAGATACTTGACTCTCGATGTTTGAGTGAGGATTCAAACCCAGGCCTGAGTCCCCGTCCTTCACTCTCTATCCATCCCACCACACTGGCTATCCAGTTTGTTTGTTTGTTTGCTAAGCAGCAAGTACAAAATGTAAACATTGTCATAATGAATGCCCTGTATGTGGGTTAAAATGACATGCTTAATGTGCATTTATATTGATGTTAATCAATCACTCCCCCTCTCGTCTTGTGGTTACAGATAACAATTTTAAGACACATTATTAGTTAACAACACACAAACATATGCTTTTCATTTGTCTGCATATCAAGTAGAATATTGCTGATTACTTTCTGATTCCTAAACAGGCCCAAACAGTTTAAGAAACTGGAAAATTAGTTTTGATCTCTTCTAAACAGATTAAGTTGTA